GGGATACAAATGCAATGGCAAAATTAATTTGCGCCTTTCCCCTTTAATCACATTAATACACTACAATATGTTTTATAAGAAATTTATATCTGAATCATTATATTTATTGAATATTTTTTTGATTATTTTGTAAATTTTTGTTATTTTTATTTATTTTTTTTTTTCAGTTCAAAATTGTAAACTTTTCCATTCTATTTCTTAAGATCAACTGATTGCATTGGATGTCTAATAGAGGCATAATAATGTATTGATGCAATAAGTATACGTTTAACTGATAACGACTTCGCTTGTCTACTACTACTAGTACCGTTTAAGTGAATTGATTACTTGATTTTATTTTCACACGCTTCTCTGAAGCCTACCGTAGGTTACGGCTATAAACTTTACGTCTCTCTTGCAGCTTCTAAGTGCTAAGCAAGATTAAAATGGAAAAAAAAAAGTAAAAAGAAAAGTAAATCTTGCTCTGATTTATCGGTTGACTGGGACCACCATATGTACTTTTCGTTAATTGCTGTAATAATCATTTGGAGAGAATATCATCAGATTAATATCAGATAAGTCGACATAATTCGTTTTATGTATGGTATGAAAAAACTTAATTGAAAGGTATTATTATTATTATTAGATAAAGTAATGAAAGCGATTATTAGATTAGCTAATGAAAGAAAAGATAATATACTTCTAGGCTTAACAATTACATGCACTTTACACATTGATATATTTTATCTATTATAATAAAGTGTACGCGCAATAATCAGTTAATCAGTTATTCTGTTTGTTAAATCAACATCAATGAAATTGGCAAACAAATCAACACAGGAGCAGTAATAAAAACAATAACAATAACAACAAATCAGAGATATAAATTAATCATTAGCTAATAAATGTTTAACGCCTTTTCAAGACCTAATGCATCTAATGCTGTTTTCATGAAAAAACAAACACAAATCAATACATATTCTAATAAATATATTGAGTGAAATTGACACTTCAACGTCAGTGAGTGATAGAGAGAGTGAGAGAGAGAGCGAAAAAGAGAAATGTAAAATATGAATCACAAAATGAAACTACACAACACTATACTGCTGTGGTTTCTTGATTCTTTATCAACAACATTTGACAATGTTTATGTAGCATTTTCCACGCACAAGCATAACTCATGAGCGCCATTTAGTATTACTACTCATAGTTATATATCTAAATGTGTATAGGTGTGTGTGTGTGTGTGTGTGTGTGTGTGTGTGTGTGTGCGCGTGTGTTTGAACGAATTTTTTGTTTTGAGTTAAAGGAAAAAGCAAATGAGTGGCAAGACGCTCGCCCATTGACTTACTATGAGTGAAAGTGTGCGTTAGTTATCAAACAGCGATGGGCACGTGAATAAACTGAAAAAACGAAAAATTTTTAATCACCTATTTTTTTTTCTTCTCTTTATTTTTCTTTGTTTACATAATTTGAATTTCATTCTTAGTCCACTTGACTTGGCACTTAAATCGGGAAAGACTTGAGATAGCCTCATATGTTATTATATCGATTGATTCAAAAAGTGATATCGATCGTTGTCTGTCGAGGTAGTCTGTCCGTCTGTCCTTTTTATTTTCTTGTCTTCAATCCTTCACAATATTCCATGGTCCCATCTAATATTTTGCTTTGACAAATCGTTTCATGAATAACTAAAATAAGTAAAATAACTTAGGATATTTAACTATGGGTCGTGTTCCGTTATGCTTTCGTTACTTGTTTGTAAATTCTCTTTGTTTTTCGTTTTTTTTTTTTGTTTTTTATTTTAATTGATTTTATCATACATCGCGTCCTTCAATACGCTCTGCAGCTATATGTACCGATTTAATGCTTCATAATAAATTATTTTATAAGAATTACGTCAATTTCTTATTAACTAACAACGATTTATTCGTTATATTACTACAAAACGTTTGTTGCAGAGATAGTAATCCTTTTATAATTGGATCCACTTCAACTTTCAATGTCTGCGAACATATTCTTTTGCTTGCGAATTGGTTCTATCGATAGCTTCAAATCGTCATGAGATTTCTTTAATGCTCTATATCTTTCTCTATAGTTGATTGATGAAGAAACAATGATAATTTCACCCATCTTTATAGAAGATGTGTAATTAAAAAAAAAAATATTTTTATTATAACAACTTTTGAGTTTTGCACTTTTGCAAATAACTTAATAGCGGGAAGGGTTTGATTGAGGAAATCGTAGCGAAGGCAACTGAAATTGTTTCAAAATTTAAAGAATAAATAAAAATTATTAGTAAATTCAAAGAATTCTTTAAATGGATTGATGCTTAAATACCGCCTTCGCTGAGGCAAAGTATTTGAGAAACAATTTGAAAATCTTGCAAAAATCTATGTCAATTAAAATTGTTAATTGTACTTCGCTAACTCAAAATGATTGAATAAATGATTTATTGTAAAGTCAAGATCTACGTCGAAGCTAAGCTAGAAAGACGCATCTCATACTTTCGTATTCAAATTGATCGAAACTAAATCAAATAAGAGCATATTTTCATTTGAACTGAAGACGGAAAACAGGTAGGCAAATAAGCGAATGTATCTACGTATACCAGATTAGAATTTGTATCTAACAATTTAGGAAATTTCTAAAACATGTTTATGAGTACTTTATTCGGAAAATTAAGGCAGATTTTCTCAGATATTTTCACAGTACAGTGTCATTGTTATCTTGAAAGCACTTTACACATATGTCAGCGTGAGAGGAATTTCGACGCTGTATTCAACTTTCACCCGTGACAGTCTTATGACTCACGAACTCACATCTGGATTTAAGCAAAGAGTGTTGATGACTGGTTCATACCATATTTTTTTTTCTTTTTTCTTTTTTTTTTTTTTTTTTTTTTTATAAAATTAATTTAGATTTAAAAAAAAAAAAATGTTTGTGTCCGGGACAATTTAGAAAAAAAAAAAAAAAGCAAAGCAAAAAAAAAACAAAAAGTCGAGGCTTACAAGACAATTAAAAAATGAAAAGGAAAAATAATAATAATGGACGTGTGTGTATAAGAGCTTGTGATCTTCACATTAATGGCTTCACTAGTCAAGAACGTAACGAGTCGTATCTGAAATAGTTTCACCGTTTACTCATGACAAACTAAATAAACTCGCATTCATCTATAAGTCTATCTTTGATTTTTGTAAAAGTCAAGATAAAAGTAAGCAAACTGTTGTCAGTTAATATCTTAAAGGATTTGCGCTTCTATACCGGCATTTATGATACGCTTTACTTTAAACATGGCAACTACAACGAAATAATAGAAAAAAAAAAAAACGAATGGCAAAAAGAAGAAATATTCAATGAATTTGTTAAAGCAACAAAAATTTCGAATCTCTTTTGTCTTGACTTGAAAACAAAATAAATAATAAAAAAAATAAAAGCAAAAGCAAAAGATGTACGCATTTACTCTTATACTATAGTGCGCTCAATTGGTAATCACTCAATAAGGTGCTGTATGTGTGTGCGTGTGTGTGTGAATGTGTGTTGCTCTTTCCTTTTTTTTTTTTTGTTATTATTGAATCGGTGGTTTTTTTGACTACCCAAGCGAACGGATCGCGTCAGCTGGTTGGTTGTCGGTTATTGGCCTGGCATAATGAGTGTCTGGAAATAGTATTGTGTTGAACGACTGTCGCGCACAACTAGAAACTTATCACAATTAATCAACCGTTCAAACCGTAACAACAAGAAGAACAGTCAAAGAAAAACGTATTAACGAAAACAAAAAAGAAATGTCTTTGTTCGCATTCAATTACTACCTGGCCACTGGTTGGCCTATATAAGCAAAACAAAAAAACAAAAAACAAAAGACATATAATGTGTGAAATAAATGCTTAAAAATTCATAAATCAAAAAACGAAACGTTAATTGTGTTTTTTGCTCATTTGCAATGTAAACGTATATGCATACGTACGTGTATACGAAAACGCATCAATCAATTACATTTTATCAGTATTATTATTATTATTTTTTAATGAATTTTGCAAAAAAACAAAAAAAAAATTTATAAAATTCCTTAAATACAAAAAAAAAAAAGGGCTAATTGCCTTAAACTCTTTAAATTACTTATGAAAACTAGCCGACACAAATGATATTATCATCATCATTATCATCATTATTATCATCGTTAACGTTATCATCATTAATGGACATTGAATGCGCTTGAATTCATTGCAAAATTATAAAATATAATTGCAAGTCTGTGTGTGTGTGTGTGTGTGTGAACACACAGAGTCAAAATTAATGCAAACTTATTCTCCAAAGTGTTACACAACGCTGAGCGATCAGTGACGGCTTGTGTGTGTGTGTGTGTGTGCGCTAGTATTAAATGTGCAACAAAAGGGACAACGCAAAGAAACGATAACAAAAGTGCAAGAACCCGTGTATCGTGTATCAATCGATAAACGAATCACATTTCACAATATCAACTTGACATCCATCAACCAACCAACCAAAGTTACGGTGCCTGCTATTATTCCCTTAGTATAATGAAACCACAAACGAAGAAAGTTGCTCCTGACGGTGGCTGGGGCTGGGTAGCCTGTTTTGGTGTTAGTTTAGTTAATGTAAGTAAATTACTTGAACATTTATCTATACAACTTATTTACATATACACACATATATATAAAACTAAAAATATAGAGCCTTCTTGCAGAGATGAAATTTAAATAATTTCAGTTACTCAGATCTAAAAAGCATACATGTATCGGCATCGAAAAGGCGTAACTTAAATGAAATTTACTCTGTAGTATGTTAATTGAAAAATTCTTAAAGGCTCGATATATATATATATATATATATATATATATTTTTTTTTTTTTTTTTTTGTACTTATACATAATGTATGTCATCACTCGTCTTTTTACTTCATTTCTAAGCATGATTTTTGGCAAGTTAATGTGCCTTGCATCTATAGCATATATATCCACTTATATACATATGTATACATATGATGCACTGCACCGTATTTACTCTATTGCTGATCACGTTGTAAGAGCATGATTGCTGTTTTGAACTTTTTTTTTTTCTTTTGTTTTGCTCTACACATTTATCAAGTCTTGCGTTTTGTGTGTGCAAAATGTACTCAAACAAACATTTACATATATATATATATATATATATTCTCCGGAAAATTTAAAATCGAATAAATACTCAAATCTAAGTAAACAGAATACTGAACCAATACATAAGTGTTTCATAAATCAAAATATTCGCTTTAAAAATGATTTAATAGAAAATTTCGAAATTTTTCGAATATTTATACGAAATTTCAAGACTTTTTTTTTTTTTTTAAATATTTAGTTGAAAAAGCAATATTCTTCAGGGAATTAAAAAAAAGAAGAAACTGAAGTTTCTAAATGAAATATGTAAAGTTTTTTCAAAAATTAAGTTTAAAAAAAAATGAAAAAAATAATAACACTATAATGAGTCAGGATACGCCATTAAATACCCTACACTAACATATAGTTAGTTGACCTATAATGACTTTTCAAATTGAGTGTTACATGGAAAGTGATCGAAAAAGTGCTCCGATCTGAACCATTTTCAATAGCGATTGGATCTTGGCTGAACTTTGGTCGAAACATTTCATCCAAATATTTAAAAAAAATGCCGCCTGCATATTGAACAAAAGAAATGAGGATAGACGGACGGACAGACAAGGTGGGTGTAGCTTAAGTCCTTCTGCGTTTTACACAGGTCCGCACATTCGCAAACTTGATGTACACCTTAAATCGCTGGTAGTGCAAGGTACGGCAAATTGTTACGAGACTTTTAATAAAAGAAAGAAAACTTTTTACGATTTCAATAGTTTTTAGAAAAGATGTGATGCGAAAACATATTTCCTGGAGAAATTCTTGATTGCGCCTGCTGTCAAGATACAGGCAGTTTTCTTAAAAAGTCAAGAAAGCAAGATAACAGATCTTCCCATCGAACATATCTTTGCGTTAGACATTGTGCATAAAATAGAAAACTATGTTCGCTTCGCACGATACCTTGTAGGCTGAGAATCTTAAGGTGATGCCTGCTACGAACGAGATATATATTATTAATTACAGTCGCATCAATAGGCCCATTAAAGCGATTTTGTTTGTTTAAACCTTAAAATAAATTCTAGTAAATATTTCTAGTAAATTTTACCAAATAGACGGACGATAAGTTCCATCTTCTATCTAAGTAAGAAAATGACAATCATTTTCAAACCTAACTTTTCCTAATAAAATTATATAATTTGTAGATTTTAATGCAAATTTTACTGCTAATGAAAATTAAATAAATGGACAAACGGACAGACAGTTGTACTTGTCAAAACCAATTCATATTGTTACGCAGATCAGTGAAATGATAAACGCTTTCTATCGATCGTCTAAACGATTTGTTGATTGAATGAAAGCATTTTGAATGCATTTCCAATTTTTGTAATAATATTTTTGAAACAACCTAATACTTGTTGAGTTTTTCATTTTTTACAAAATAAAAAACAAACCATTACTGTCGGAATAGAAAAAAAAAAGAGAAAAGAAGAAATACGCCCTCATGTGGCTTAATATTTTATATAAAAGATCACTGTACTCATACTCATGCACAACATCAATGTACATACGAGTGTGTTTAACATATTGTTCATATTCACAAGCATATCATTATAACAAAAAATTTACTTTAGCTATCGTTAGATTAACTATCATGTAATTAAAATCCAAATTTTTATTCGCAAGTGAGTCATGCAATTAAGCGATTAGGATATTCGCCTAAATCGGACCTTGAATATTTATCAAAAAGTACATTTTTCAGCTAAGTTACTTTAATTACTCTTCTTCTTTTTTTTTTATCTGCACACGTAAAACAAAGATATAAATCTTTTGTCACTCTTTATGATATTCCGAAACATGATTTACGCAACCCATAAGCAAGGTATGCCTTTGATTAGCAGGAAGCTACAATTCGAGATAAATGTTCATAATTCAGATCCCTACAACAAATTTGACAGATTCTTTGACATCCATATCTCTTCAAACTAATACATAAAATCAAGTGAAAAAATTATAGTCGAGCTAGGCTGACTTTTAAATGCCCTACTCCCCATTGTCTAACACAAATTTTAATAAACTGCTTTTAGAAAAACTTACTATTATGGAACTATATACCAAATCAGACCATTTTGCGAATAAAGCCTTACTTTCCGAAAGAACGGTTAAGCCCAAGAGGTTCAAATGTGATAGCACCTATTCAAAATTCACCACAGTTAATTGTGGTATTAAACTATTTAATTGGATCAATTTTCATTGAATACTAAAACTTAAATTTTTCTGCCGAAAATTTCCATAAAAATCCTTATATAGGGTAGGACCCATAAGTAGGCGTTTTTTATCTTAAATTACTATTATGATCAGATCTCTATCATGAAGCAATAAAAATTATTATGTTCCCGTTGTATGCACTTCAGGTTTCGTTATATGAGAGGGGATTCAAAAGTTGCTGCATCCGGTCCAAAGTTTTTATAGCAACCTAGGAAGCCGAAATACTCTTACTTAGCCACTTTTGTTGAGAGATTTTGAAAATTGCCAAATTTTTGAACAGGAAATTATATGGGCAGTTGTCGAAAAAGTAGATCGACCTAAATCATTTTTAATAGCCTTCCTCTTCGGGTCAAAACATGCCAGTGTATCAAATTTCATTAAAATATCTCAAAAATTGCGACCTGTAACTCGAATACAAATTTACATGGTCAGATATCAGGCGAACAGGCATGTTTAGATCGATGTAGAAAAGGACAATAAAAGGTTGGTCTATCTTAAGCTTTCCTGTTGGTTACATGCATCCGCACAAACTTAATATAGCCTGGAAAATGAAGATGAAAACATTTAGAAGAATCCGGTCTGGTCAAATATTTGCAATGTACCAATGGATTCTTTAGTAATCTACTCAATGTCAAAACTTTGCCAATAATCGATCATTTGTCTTCGGATCGTTTAACCCTATGGACATGATGAAACTGTCTCGAGAAGAACAAAACGTCAATAAAATCTTTAATTATTTTTAAAGCAATTAGACTATGCATCTTATTTGGCTTTTAAAAAAAAGATGACCCGATAGTCTCGATTGCTTGTGCTCACGCTTTCGTGAAAATGTTAAGCCATTTCATTGATTGTCGGTGCCTCAATTGCACGATCGGGCACACTAGCCGTTTCATTTATCCCAGCAAACATTCGTAATAAATTTCAGTTCAATAATAATTCTTACAGATCGTATGTTAAAGCTATTTGTCTTTTATGACACTGGCAGTGAAGTTCTAAATGATCCTGGTATGTATTTGCTTCAAGTCTCACTTTTAAACTTATCTACAATATTGATTGTAAGTTACACAGTAAGTTTTGCCTATTGTGGGCATTAATTTTCTAACCTTATCTATGGCCATATATATGACAAGGTTTAGCTCTCCAAATCGATTTTGTCGGCCATAAACGTTACAATCGAAAATCTTGATCTGATAGATATTCAGATCTAGTTTACAAGATCGCTAATGCGAATTTCTGCATGCTATCAAGGGGAGAATTATAATCCTATCCGTCAGTGGTGAGTACAGAAATGAAAACTTAAAAATATTAATTCGAAGAATTCGTATTCATTTAAAAATGCGAGGCAATAATCTTACCGTAAGTGATTCAGTAGGTCGATATTTACAAATGCATATACATATATATATATATACATGAATGTGGCAAGGGTACTGTGAAGGCAGGTGTACTGTAGCTAGTGTACTTTGGCGATCCCATATGAAGCTTCGTTATGAGCAGTGTCGCAACGATATTACAAAGGACTTAAACAATCATTTTTTTTTATTTTTTTTTTTATAATAAAACCGATATCGGATCGTTTTCTTATGACTACTCCTTGCGTAGACCAAAACTGAATCAAAATGCAAGCAATTACAACAAGAACATACTTTCTTCTTTTATGACTAGTGATTGATGGCAATGTCAATCTATGCGAACATATTAAATGAGGCTTAAACGATAGTTAAACGTTTGTGTCTCTCTATTCCGCTCTAATCCGCTAAGGTAGCCTGATACAAGAACAAACTTGGTCTAGAAACTTTTTCCTAGCATTTATATCAGATTGAACTCAGTCATTAGCTAAATAATCGATAATAAGCCGATAACGTGATTTATTTATTTTATGTTTTTTATTTTACTTTGAAAAAAATTTTAAACTCCAAGTTCCTTAAGTTTATGGTTAAGTTTAAGGTTAAGTTTGAGGTTAAGGTTTTTCTATTTCTTTTGTTTACTTAATTTCGGGAATTATTAATCTATGTGTCATATACATATATGGGCGATTTATAAAGCATATGATATAATTATGATAATAATGATCATATAATTATGATAAGAAATAGAATTCATTTTAAGCCGATAATTTCGCTTATCTTCTTTTCTTTTTTTTTTAACATCAAAAAAAATCTATATTTAATTTGCATTCATCTCAAACCTTCATTTGGTTGCGACGAAGTCACGTGATATTTAAGTTTCTGCTTTCCCAACTATCTCGCGAATCAGTCGGAAGAACA